AAAGTTCAAAGTTGACAAAATTTCGTACAGAACCATATTATCTCAGTCGACATAACAGATATTGCAACCGTTATGATATGGTGCTTTTATAACAATCGATAAGCAGCAAAACACTGAGATATTCCGATTTGTGAACAGAAAAACAAAGATGGCTGGCTAACGATTTAGGTGTTAAAGTGACGAGCCAGGATGGGCTGTGTCAAAGGGCAGCTTCAGAAACTTTCACGTAGCGCATACAGTGCATGTAGTATAAATTTGACCATACCCGGTTCCCACTTGGTATCTATTATGTAAGACCAGATATACGGTCGTGCAATTTCCTTAAATTCCTTACGAGCAAAATAAATGTCCTGATGACACGGTATTTAAAGCTCTTTAGATCACAGGTTGTTTCGAATTATTTCCTTCCGTGAACTAAACGGTCCTCAACATCTTGAACAGGTGAAAGAAACTGAGTCACTGCTAGACAATAACGAATAGGACTAAATACGAATTTCACAACACTCATAAAATGATCCATGGTCGGAAATACAGAATTCAAACTCAATAGCAGATGTCATAGACGGATGTGTTACTTACATTTCCCTTTTTCTCTCAAAAGTAGTATAATTCCCATTTGTGTCCACTCTGGTGAGAAACATTACAATACTCCTTAAAAGAAATACTTAGACTGATATGTTTTTGTCGTGATTTATTTTGTGGCGAGGCGATTGACGTACTGAAAACCCAAAGGGGTATTCGTTTCAAACCTTCGAAATGTAATCAACATATTTTGGCTTGATTGCTTATTATAAATGAAAATTAAAATAATGAAAACGCGACCTACAGGGGCTAAAAATAGCAGGAATTTAATGAACTGTTTTCCCGTGTTATAAAGAAAGAAGGATTATGGTGAAGGCCAACAAAATACGTTATGAAATTAAACAGGAACGTGACCGGCAAGTGAATGCCCGTTTGTTGAGCCTAGAGATTTCACCTGAAAGCCAGTAAACAATTTAAGTGATTGACACTTGATAACGTTTATACAAGCGACAAGACAAAAACACTTTCAGATGCGCCGTTTCTTATAGATCTTTCTCGATCTAAAATTTCTTGCATTTATAAGACAGTTTTCTGTAGTAGCAACGATACAACCTTTTCAGGGTTCATTCTAAAGTAGAAACCACCTTACATATTTGGAAAGAAAGCAGTTGGTGTCACATTTTTGGAAAACAATTCGAGATATCAGTAATGTGTATTTTATGGAGTTTCTTCTGATATGCATCAAACAGAAAGCCCATAAATCATGTTATGGAGACATTGGGTCTCCCAGAAAACTTTCAACCAAGGTCGGCGGTTTAAACGAATGATTAGTCATAATTTGCGCTTAATGTATGTATGTACCATTGAATTGAAAAGGAGAGTAAAGTTAATGAGGACAATGCCGACAAACAGAATCGACGATACCACTTGATAAAATGAGAGGAGGAAATATGCAAATCGATTTTCGTGATCCTGGTGCTGCACTTGATGTGAAGGACAATAAAATCTTGGTTCTGACCGGTGATCGATATCAAATTACTTTTTACCCTTAGCGGTCAACTGTTAGTTGCATCCATATTGAATGGATTAGCCAGGTAAATTACACAAAGTATGACATATTGAATAATATAGCCATTTGCGGTGCTGGTGGCGAGATCGGGAACGTTTGACTGTAAATTGAAACAAGCGGTGGAAATGGGTAGCGTATGAGCAATTACCTTGACGTTATGGCTTTCGTGCTGTTGGGCATGTTACGTAACTATGATTCAATGCCTTAATGCTCTTAGTTTTTTTCTTATTCTCACATTTATTTCTTCCTTACGGCTGAAACTTCCAACATAGGTCGACTATTTACGTCGATGAATGCATGTGAAAAAAGAACTCAGTACAAGTACCCTTTTCCCTAGCCAAAAATATGGATTATTTTCAAAAGCTTAAGATAATTGTCAACACAAAATTATTTTCATGAGCTGAGCATCATCCCCATATCAATCACACATTTCAGAAGTTACGCACAAGGATTCAATAAGAACACTTCTCGGAAATCCTAATTTAAGCTCTAATGGTCATAATACTGCTTACTGCATAGGCGTTCTTCTATATTTTCGCTCCCACAACTAGCTCTTCTACTGAAATTTTGTACATTTTTTCACATATAGGTAGTCGTATAATACTTAACTCTCTGTGGCTGGAGGTTTGCGTTAAGAGGAAAAGCCTCATCTACTGCCTAGTACTAAAAAGACCTCTAAAAATGTAGCTTGTAATCAATACCTTAGAACACAAGACTGAATAAATCTTCTGGTCTTTTCTTATCGTCTTTCCTTTCCTTGCCCTTCAAAGCGGTCCGCAGTTTTTTCGTCAATGCTAACATTCAGTATTTCAAATGTTACAAAACACGGCGAAATTGACGAAAGGTCGTGAAAAACACTACGAAATCGCTTCACCCCCACGCCGCTCCTGCTTATGACCTTTTAATTACGTCGTACTTACATTTTTGGTTGTTGTGTCTTCAGTTATCTATTCATCACTATGTGAAGTGTACACGTCAAACAAGGTGCTCAGCTAATTCTTTTAATGCGTTTAAAATCAGGCACTGCGTAACGTTTCACATGTAAACCATTATACACAAAACTACGAAGTTTAAAAACGGTGAGTTTTGCACGACAGACTTTCTTTATTTCAGCTAGCAAAGGTTCCATGCTGCGATATGATAGTTATTCTTTCAGTGCAGTTGCTCATATGAAAATTATCACAACTCCCGGCGATGGACTGAAAGTAATCAGTGTTAATCGAGTCGACGTTCGAAACGGCTGACGAAGAAAGTCTTTTATTAAAATGTTCCAGCTTTTCACTACCGTTTACTTACTTTTTGCAACTGTTTATAATGATAGCACTTTTCTTACCTATACAATGTATTATGGAAGGACATAATAGAAAACAAAAAAAAAATAAATAAAACGAAAGATGTGCCCATAACTGGCGACGAGGATTGCTGCTGCATTTCCTACATCAACAACTCGCTGTAATGACTGTCTTGGTATAATTTCGGTTCGAATGGCTAAGAGAAATTTATTTCTTAACATGAGTGTTTTGATCATTGAAAAGCAGATACGATCAGCGTGCAGCAGGTAAAATGAGGTGCTGCGTGTTCACCCGTCACGAACATATGCCTGCAATTTGAAGAGAATGCCGTAATTTCCGTCAACGATTAATGAAAATGCTTAAAATTTTGAGCGATTTAAGTTCAGTACCGAGCAATTGATCACAAGTAAACATAACGATCGTCGATCGATTTACATTAACGGTGACAATGACGAGACCCTGGCCTCACGTAATTTAAAATCAGAATTTTGCGGCATGTACGAAGCTTGTCTGATTGAGTTCAAGTAACGCCTTTAAGAATGAACTGAAAAGAAACGAAAGAAAGCGACACGTTAGTTGATACCTGACAGCGACCCTTCAATAAATCGTCTAAGATATGAGGTTCATTCAGGCTTCGCCAGTCTCATGTATCATGAAACGGAGCAAACACAGAAGTTTGCCGGGCAACTTGAAAAATTCATGTTGTGCTGTTGACGATAAGCACTGGTATTTGATACAAAGTACATGTGCCGTTTCGCAAAAAATCTGTAGAAGCACATGAGGTTAGTGGCTGACAGACAAATTTTACCTTTGAAGGAGCACATAGCCAATTTGTTGTGAACAATTCTCAGTTTCCATGGTGATATTTATCAATTAGACCCGTAGCCCGCAAGGGCTACGGGTCAATAGCCCGTGAGGCGAAGCCGAATGGACTATTGACCCGTGGCCCTTGAGGGCGAAGGNGGATTTGCATTAGTCCACTAGTTGGGTGATACTAAATGGTGTTATTAAGAGCGCGGGAGATTTTCTGAAGAAAATGCAGATCCAAGCACAATAAGTAATAACATAGGCGGGTGCATCAATAGTAGTTCAAACTAGCGTCATAACGACATAACGACACAAGAAGGACGTATGTTGGCAGTGTGAACATCCTGACGTAACGACATAATAGCAACATAACGACATAAACATAACCACATAAGGAAAAAACTGCGTCCCTATGTCTATGCCGTTATGACGCTATTTTTCTGTTAAAACAAGTGTGGACATCGTAGACATAACAGCATAACAAAGAACCAATCAGAGCAGCGCAAGAATTATCAAACCCTGAGTTCTGATCTTCGTTCCAGGCATTATAACTTACACCCAAATTTGCAGTAACTTCAGCTTGGTGTTATCAATGATCAACGCAATTCATACAGAGATTTTTGGGTACAATAAAGAAAGGTACAATGTAGATTTTTTTGTCAATATTTTTACCTGTTTGAGCAACCACGCTTTCAGACTGCGTCAACAATTACAACATGGAGATTTGCCTATTTCCAAAATGGCGGCGACTGACAAGTTTTACCTGAAATGTTCTCGATCGCCCAAACGAAGCCCTCTACCGAGGTTGTGGTACTGGCCGTGTGCTCTCCTACTTTTTTCACATACTTTATATTCAAGAGTTTTCCTTTCAACTGAAACTCAGATAAAGTTGTAAGTGTTCTGCGCTTACTGTAGGGCCTACCTAATTTTTTCAGCGTTGTCTGACCGTTGCTAGTAAACTTGTAAAGAGGCCCGTGGCTGCGTTTTGTTATGAAGGAAAAATACACGGCAACACGTTACATGCAACCGTGAAGTTTTCCGGCTAACGAAGCCGCAAAACAAAACAAATACAGCATATCGATGTAATTTGCCCATAAATTCAAGAGCCTTTCGCGTAATCCTGCTTCTATTGCGTGTATAATCATACGTGCCCGAAGTTAAGGATTACTGAGCTTCCCATGTGCTCTGCATGCATAATGTTGCATACTTTCAAATTGATGGCTTGATTAAACGCAAGCAGTAAAATGTGGGATAAGTGTACACAATAAATTTATTTTGTCATTACGATTGTGATTACTTGAATTAACATTTACCACAACGTAATAATAATCAAATATCCGATTTTTTTTTTGACTGAATTATGATGAGAATATTGTTTTAGTAACACTATATTGACAATCCAAAACCTTAGATAACAACCCTAATCTTCTGAAGACGGTAATCTGTCCTGGTTGGCGAATTTAAAGGTCGTCACAGTTTTCCTTCAATAGCAAGAACAGACTAGAAGACGCCTGATTTCAAAGGCTTCGTTAGTTGACACTTCTGCCGGCGTCAAAGGAGCCTTTTAGGTCAGTCAAGTGACACTGCTAAGTGCTAAAAGTATATCAAACCTTTTCATTTGAAGAGAAAAACAACGAAATTAACCTAATTATGCATTCTTTTTAACAGAGTTATTATAATGTTTCATCTAATCAGCCTTAAGAAGGGAACCTATTACAGTAGGCATCTAGACTGATTAGGAGAACAGAATCGAAGCCGACCGACCAACTGCGAGGAACTCTATTTCGACAGCTATATCACTGCACGAAACATATCGCGTCAGTTGAACTGTGCAAGCAGTTTGCAAACGCTTAAATACACTTTCCAGTAAGTGCAGCTCAGTCCCATCACTCGCGCCGTCTAGTAGATATCTCGTTCTCAATCTTCGCCTTCGTTGTTTTACATACAATCTCGTTGTAGGTCAATTTACCAAGAGAAACGGCAAATTTTCGGGTCCGGCACAAGACGAAGTTCTTTGGTCATTGCCACTAAATTTCTGTTGGGGCGCTTTGGCTTAGGTTCAAAAATCTTTCGTGTACCGCACTGCCTGTTTACAAACTTATCAGTTATCCTCCCTTGATTATGCTTTCTTGACAGAACATATAAACCCATTTCATATATAATCTGGTTCAATGTGACGTTATCTGAGCGGCTTTTTTGGTGTTTCAGTATACTTGCGGTTCTTTCACAAAACCTTGATTCGGGTACGCGACAAGTTTCTAAGAATTTTAAGGAGTAGACAATCCCTTCCGGCTACTTTTCGAATTCGTCACTACAAATCTGCTTATTATAAGCTGTTCTTCAGATCCTTAACAATGGCAGCTGGCGTTAAGACTGATAGGCCTACACTTCCTACAGTCATTGCCCTTGATAGGTTATCTATCGACTCCAAACGAACGAAATAACTTCCTACCCCTATATTTTGACAGTTCTGTAAATTTGCGTCATCCATAGAAAATAATTATAGTGCGGAAAACAGGAAATAGAACGGAGAGTCTTGAAAAAGCTATGCTGAAAATTTGGTTACAGACGTGGTCCCGTAAAAACAACCACGCTTAGTTATGTTTCTTAAATATTGAGGACGTTTGCTTGTTTGTATAATAACATTTCCTGTGTGCAAGAGCGGAAAGTTAGTTTGATAGCGTTTTAAGTCAAGAGCAGCTGAGACCCTGTACATACAAGGTTGCGAGGCGCCACAAAAACTGCGAATGTCAGAGCTAGTCAGAATGAAAAACGAATAATAATAGTCTAGTCTTAAACGTGGAAAATTGTGTGAGAGAGTGATTGTAAAAGCATCCAAATTACGACGCCTCGGATGTAATTTAATTTTGATCTGGTCTTGGCACATATCTCTGTGGTGTAGGGCGTATCTTTATTATCCCTGTACATACTTACGCACGTGAGTACTCTTCGATCATATGCACGCATATGCACAGTAAATCATCAACTTGTTTGTTACAACTCTGTCGACTTATCCTCCTGCTCCGCATGAGCGTGCAGTGCCCATGGTTTGAAGTTAAAAAAAGTTCCTCTTCACTACTGAGTATGTGAGTGAGAAACATTTTTCCTCTGTTCACTGCATCCCTTACTGACATGTACAAAATGACAAGAACAATGAACTAATCGCGGCGTTTGCACAGATGCACGTTTAACCCAGTCCAGGTATGATAAGTTCTGTAGTTGGGTATAATCTACGAAGAGGTTATCAGGGTAATTAGTAAAAGTTTCACTTTGCTCACAGTAATAATGGGTTTTATTGTCAAATTGAGTAGGATTAATGATACGAATTCACCATATCAGCACGGGTTACAAAGTAATATAAATGTATAGCATTTTACAATTTGTTTGGCAAAGATTTTCCTGTTCGTTTTTACGCAGAACCTGACGTTTGAAACATGAATTCGGGGCATCTAGATCTAACAAGTTCCAGAACGCTGTGGAAAGGTTGACTCTGTCGTTACTTTATACGACCCACATTTAGGTACGGTTTGAAATCCCTTACTTATTTATTGGTCATGTGACTCAGCTAAAAATTCGTTGAAAGGTAAACATGCATGCCCTGTAATTTGAATCCACATAACTCCCTTATAATCCAATTTTTCATTCTTTGAAAAGACAATACCATAGAAAGGAACATGTTATTACACAAGGAAACGGTGCTCGGTCAAATTCTACCTTGACTCACCTGTAAAAATGTTGGCTTATTTGAGCAAATGTCCATCGCGTGTGGACCAAAGGGTAAGTCTTAATTTGCTACAGAATCTTGCCAAGGCTCTATTTATCTTTTGCAATGAATGTAGGAGTGGCCATCTTAGAAAAAATGCTTGGCAAGTTTTCCTAAACTAATCATAACAGTGGACACTTGATTAGTGAAGGCAATTCACTGTGATGTTCCTATTCTAATGAGGAGCAATCAAAGGTAACTTAGAGTTGAATGTAGCGATGTTTATTGTACACAATTGGTCCTGGGTGGTGATAAGATCAGAAGGAACCCAAGTGGCTTCATACAGACTTCAGATTAAGGGCTTATTCAAATACTTTTCTAAGTAGATATTATTTGGCTCTTAACCGTTTACGTAAACTAAAGCATTACGTAAAAGCATTAACAGTGAGATTACCTGAATGCACAGTCACGTATCAATTTAATGAGCAAAAGCTGTTGTATGACTAACAAGTTTAGTTATTGTTTTTAACCAGAATGAGATTTCAAATTTTCAAATGTAAATCGTAACCACTGGTATGAAAACGATATTTAGCCCTTTGGACCACTTATTTTACATTTAGATCAATGTGATAGCAAAAAGACCTTTCCCGTTTTCTTAATAATGAATTTCTCTCGTAGATAACGACCACTACATACAGCACTTCTCCTTTTAAAAGCCGGCGAAATTGAGCGTCTTGTGAAAGTGATTCATTTTCACCGCCATATCTAAATCTTTTGACGGAAAGTTTCGCTATCTTTTCATTAAAATAATTCATTTGCCATTCCGGAAGTGACAACTAAACTTCTTAACATTATGCATATTAAAGCGACAGTCGTTTTGTTGATGTCAAGGTAATTTACTGTATTTAGAAAAAAAAAGAAGGAGTTGGCATTATGTGCGAACAGTCATGACGATTATGAACATTTCACTTGCCCACTCTTGTCTTAGTAGCCATAAAACTAGCAGCGTCTCCGCGATCTGTTCGCGAGTGTGATTTCATCATCTTGTTCTAGTTTGGTTTAAGGGTGGACCATTAAAATATCGATGAGATTTGCATGAAATTTATCTGCGCGATGTTCTTTTACCGCCTTTCAGTCATGCAGGAATTGTTTGTCTGACATGGAGATTAGTCTAAGGCTAAAATCACGAGAAGCTAAGGCATTAAGATAAGAAAGTTCACCACGACCTTGAAACCGAATGTGGTCATGTGATCTGTCAACGAGCACACCGGGCCAAAAAAAAGTCTTATGAACAAAGCGATTATTACACGTTTACTCTACTGTACCTTTTAAACATTTCACAGCTGAACTGATGCTCTCAAAATTAACTGCTTTTCCATGTTCTTGAAATAAACCTAATAGGTATAAGAGGCATAGAAAAAGGTAAATTAGATTTGTTGACAGCCCTAATTTTGCGGTTATTCTTTTTGTAATAAGGGAAAGGCACCCGGATGTACATACATAGCACTTCTCCCTTCTACGTTAGTGGGGAGAAGCATTGCGTGACGCCTCAAATAACAGCGGTTAAGGAGAAAAAGGTGTGCAAGGATCTTGAACAATTTTGAAGACATGCCGGGCGGCTTACTAGAATTAATCATGAATCTTGAAATTGGTTATATAATATATTTATATAAAATCTTAATGCTGCAGTCCTTAAAGCACGATCCTCATTTGCGACGCAAGCATAAGCATAAGCGCAAACATAAGGAACTTATGCGTTAGTGGTAAAGGCTGCGATAAAAGCATAAGCATAAGCCTTCTGCTTCTGCGTAGGCTTATGTTGTTATGTCGCTGTCATGTCCAGCGAGGACATGATCGGCATAAGCATAGAGTGCTCGCTAATTGGCTGAAAATCTTTCGCTTATCCTTACTTAGGCTTATGCCAGCCATGTCCCCACTTGACATAACAGCGACATAAGCATAAGCATAAGCATAAACATAAGAAAAATGCAAGGTTTTGATATTCTTATGCTTACGCCTATGTCCGGCCGTCCCCACTAGCGCATAATCATTTTTTATCCTCGTGCTTATGTTTATGCTTACGCTTATGCTTGCGTCGCAAATGAGGACCGGGCGTAAAGGTGCAGTGGAGCTTTGTAAAGTATTCAAAATATTACAAATAAGACAGTTATTACGTTCGTGTAAAGGCAAAGCTTTCAGCTCATTCTGATTTTATTACCACTAAATAGACTTCATTCACTGATCTAGATTTAGTGGTTTAACAAAGTTTCAGCCGGGACAAATAAAGGACGTCGACGATTTGATTACCGAATTTGGTCCGATCCTGCTGCGAAAAAAAGTCAGTAGTGCACGCTCGTGGTAAAAGACTCCCCACGTTAGCCTCAGTTGTAAGCTAGTGCCAGTCTAATACCGAGAATACGAAAACTGGTCTATTGCGTTTTGACTCTTAGTGATAACCGCTCTGATACAAATTAGTAGTTACACTTGTTACTCATAGACTAAGAATACAAAACTAAGTTACGTGGTGTCTTGATATCAGTTGACGGAAACATGTTCAAAAGCTAGCTTCAGAGTCTTGAATGTGGTAAACGAAGAAAACCTTTTGGTTAATTAAATCGATTATTTACACGCCTCGTAGTTTTACTGATTATCAATGGCCACAATACACTTGTTATGCTTCGAATTAACATGACATTTCGATGAAAATTAACCATACCTGAAGCGATGAATTCATAAAGGATTTATCCTTCTGCGCATGTGCGGCAATTTGATTTCTGATCCGACGGAACAGTTTTCAAAGTTGATATTTGCGAGGAAAATCCTTCTCCGTCGACCTTGTGAGGCGTGTGAAAATAGTAACACCGATATTGAAGAACTGTTAGGTGATCTATGAAAGATTTAAACGGCATATTTTGTGTTTTAAGTGGAATCCGAGGAGAAATTGGTGTCAATCGTCGTGGCAATCTGTATCAAGACGCACATGCACTTTACAGTGACAACTGCCTTTAAAGAAAGTATAATTTTTCGGCGACAATCGCGATTCAGACGTTCTGGCGTGCCAGGTTGGCGATTGGTTAATTACATGTACTTCTCGTGACGCATCATCGATTCCTTCGCAGAGGCTGAGGAGTACGATCTCTCTAATTTACTAGTGAACTAATAAGATAAGAACTTGTTTTCTTCAAGATATTGATCCTGAACGCGCCCATTAAACTTTGAAAGGACGGTTCAAATTCGTCTGAAATGCGATCACGATGGGATTTACAGATGTCATGAACAGATTTCTGATTACTCCTTGCAGATTAATGGACATGCTAGCTTGCTTAGATAGACATGATCAAGCCCAAGGACGGGAGGGTAGGACCGGTAAGAAAGGAGGGGTGGGGGACATGTCACCTCGACAGAACTGTAAGATATGGTACTGGTGTGTTTCATTGTAAAGTGACAGTTTGAGTGGCTGTAGTGGACTTAATGCAGATTAGTGATTTCCGGAAATCAGTTGCAGAGACTAAAATCTCAGTTTAGCCTCTTTTTCGAAAGCACGATAATTAGGATAGAAGGTACAAGCCAGGATAAAGCCTAAAAGTACTAGAGACTCTCACAAGACATGACCCAAAGCCTTGTAGTGGTCAAATGCATTGGAACTGGATTAATACGGACTACGGATTAAAAGGCAGAACTTTTTCTCTCCAATCAGGCTTGACTTAACGTTTGAATGACAACTTAGTCTTCCTGACGTCACTATTGTTAGTTCGCTGCATAGCAGAGATTTCAATACTAAATGAGAACTTAAACTCAATTTGCTATTCTTAATTAAGTCCACATCTAAGATAGCACCATAAGTAACTGACACGGCTTACTTAACCCCCTAGCTATACGTTTGGAGGGTCTCAGCAAGAAACAAAATACCCAAGCTTATTTTAGCCATCTGACGCCCCTCCCAGAGTGCTTTAGCGCTCTGTAAAATTCAGACAGTCACCACCGTGCTCTTCTAGTGGTTTTCCAGCGATTTCTGAAACGGTACCCCCAGACCTCTGAACCAGCATCGCTTTGTGTTTCTGACAAGATTGCTGTACAGAACGGAAGCTAGCATTTAATTCTTAATCGCTTTAGCAATTCAAATCTGTTGACCTTTTAAGTTAACAAAGGAAATAAATCATCCTTATTGCTTTCACTTGATAACCATTGTCGGATATAGATTGGAAAAGGTAAAATATATGTGATGGTCGCGCCGAAGTCAAACGAGGTTGACCAATTAGACAGTATCTTTAATACCAAATCCGGTTCGGTCCTGCGCTAATTTCGCCGGGATTTCGGCTTTAATGAAACTTTTAATAATTGGAAAAACGCGACATGAACTTGGGCTTGATAAAATGTCACTGCTTTGATTAAACAGAAATCTTGTTTTTACAGCTTTGCATTCCATTAGGGTTACATTTCTAAAAATGGAATATGTACGTGTCCATGTGAAAGCCTTGGGTACATTCCACACCCAAACTGTTGTTTATTCAGGAAGACTATCTACATAGACGGAGTAATTTTTAAAGAATTTGCATGTCGTGATACACGAAATGCGACAGCCCCGCCAAAGGAAGCCGCGTGGCGCTTGGAAGGTCATAACGATGCAAACCGATAGTCCCAAGGCTGAAGTTCAAGATGGTGGGTTTTAAAGCTCACGCATCTTAGAGATTGGATTGTTTAATTGTTTAATTGCATTATCACGTAGAAAATTCTTTCTTCATCTTCGGACATATACAGGTCAATAATCATCCCTCGAATATGTCCCCTAGCACACAGAACATTGTTAGTAGCTGATATTGATTGCCGACACGAATTTCCAAACATTAAGGGTGAAAATTGGTTCCCCCGTTTGAATTAGCTTGTATTATCGGTAGGAAAACTTCAAGTTCCTTTGCTTTGCAATCGCATAACAGTTCGAGAAAGATTAAAGATCACCTAATTCAGAACTTCGTTGTGAAAAATTTCCAGCATCCGAGACGAGACCGCAATCTGTGCCGAACACACGAGTCAGGGTACGTGACTAATTTAGGTCAGATCACCTCATCCAACACCGCCACGTTGGGAACGAAAAATTCAAATGTGGGCTTAACATCAGGGTGCGAATCAATCAGCGAAGGTCAAGCTACATCGTTCATCACGAAAACTTGGAACACATGTGAAGTATGAAACCGTTTCATGTATGTTTCATATTGGCTTCAACGAGGAAACCAGGCCAGGAAGAGCAGGAAATGTTAAACACCTAATCAAGAGATCTTCACTTATACGATCAGAAAAGGGGATCAAAAGTAATTCATTCCTTTGTTGTTGTTGTTTTTTTTTTAAATTCCAGTCGTGGTGTCAAACTACAGAAGTAACCTTTTTCTTCTGAGCCAGTCAATGAACATTACTTGTAATCATTGAAATGGTTTGAATTTGCGGGAAATGAAGCGAACGTAATCTCAGCCTCGCAGGTTTCTCCGCATGTCATGTAGCCAGCCTAATAATCTTGTTAATATACCGTTTGACAACATCCTTTACTAGCGGTCTTGTCTTTCATTGATTTTACCCACCTTTAAGGAGCCAAGTGAGCGAAACGTGCACTTTAAAATTGACAAAGGCACTCTGACAGATTTGTCACTAAGTTCTTTTTTTTTTATCCACAAGCGGGAATCTTCTTAGCTGCTTAATGAATTACAAAACATCCGTATCTAATCCAAAAGATTACGAAATTACTCCGATAACGTACGGATACCTGTCCGATGTTTTCGTCACGTACTTACTTAATGTCTGCACGTGTGATACGATTTACCAAACATGGCCGACAGAGATCTAGATAAATCCTTGGAACATTTACAGTCAGTTGTTGTAACCGGAAAAGGAGGTTGGATGTCAACCAGTGTTTTTCTTTTACAAATTCAGTTGAGCCCGACATACTCGACCATTAAAATATCTCATGACCAGGCGAACAAGTAGACGAGATACATGCACAAAAACAAACGATAGAGGTTTACAGTCGTCGACATTTCCTGTGATATAACAAATATCTTTATGGTCAAAAAATATTCCTTTTATTCCTTTTCAGTGGATTCCCATAACCTTAGCTTTGGCAGTCAATATTGTTCGGTGTTTTCATAGAGATATATCGACACTGAAGTACGTCATACGGAAGCCAACAAATATAAGTCATGTCTTAGTCAGCAAAATAAATACCAGTTGTCAAGGGGAAGCCGAACACTTTACTTCCTGGCAAATCCACAAGTGTTTGTTTCAGAACACTAAAGTGCACTTCTTTACTGATTTCGAACCGATTAGATGTTCATGTTAGGTTAACAATTCTTCAAGCTGGTATGTACTTGATGGTCTTCCGGACTTTCAATTACATATGCTCGGAATTCATTATCGTGACCTCGATATATGTTGACTGATTGAAATGATATGGCCCATAAACCAGCACGCAACCAAGTGCACTTTATGGTCACTAGGAAGGTAATATTATACACTTCTCTCAGCACGCCTAAGACGCTATTCTGTGGTGAAATCGATAAAGCCAGATTGGCAGATCATGTTGTGAAAAGAGCTTAGTCCTCGCTGGAATACACTTTAATCCCTACAGAGAAGACTTGTAATACGGAGTAGTGGTGAGACTGTAATAACAATCGTGAAACGAACGCACTTCACTGTTGAAGAGGCTTTACCTTGGCTTTGTTATCCTGTTTAGATTTCCCAGGGAACGGAGTAACTGGCGTCACAGAGCGACGACACACAGGTTGTTCTTGCCATCATCGCCGCCTGTTACGTCTCTCACGAACACAGGCCGAAGGTTAGGTTATATTTTAATCATTTTCTTAACGTTACCACAGCAGTGAAAAAAGTTGTCATTTTAGGCTACAACACAGCTCCAAAATGAGCTTTCCAAAAGAGAGCTGCTGCGTTAGCCGATCACGGAGCAAGGAAGGAAATAAGGCGTACACAACCACTTGAAGGACGAAAGCTATGTTGAGCTCGTTATAGATCTTATCAATGTCGTCTCAGTAAAAGTCGTATCTTTTGGTTTAATTGCCCATCAATTGTCTTTACAAGTCTGTAATATTGCTACGTGCTTCAACTGACAAATTTGGTCGCATGCCTGTTTTTATTCGTTAACTACGGATGCCTCGTTGAAAAGCGGAATTTCAAGTTCGGTTTCGTAAAAGTATGCCACTCGATGTTTTGGATCAACGTCAAATTTTTCATTGAAACCGATGTCTCTCAAGCGTTGTCAACAGACTGCAAAACATTATTCCGTATTCACCTTATTCCAACAAATATCACTCTTTCTTTTATGTTTGTCTTGTCAATTGGAACCGAAACCTTTACGTAATTGTCCTCATAGCCGTCTGCGTAATTTGGCGGTGAAACACAAAGGGAAATAGAATCGTGCCCTCGACTGAACTCAGGTGAATTTTTCACCGTAAAATCGTAGGATCATGTTTCATGGCAAATAATCAATTAGTGGGCCGCTAAGACAAAATTGTTACAAGTAAGGCATGTATATTGCTTTGGTCAAAGGACTGTCATTTTTAACTCTGATTCTTGGCTTGTTCGCTTGTACTTGTCATAGAAAACAAGTCTACATGTGAGGTGAATCAGGTTAGATTTCTTGCAATGACTCCTGTTCATGAGAGCATTTTGTCATGTCTCATACGAAGACGAAAAATGAAAGCGGCATCATTAGTGCTGCATCGATTACAGAGTGTGTAGCTATACCTCCATAAAGTTCATATTTATACCGCAATGAAGTTTCCTACTCAGGATGCTCTATTGTTGACCCAAGGATGTCTTGATGTGACATAGTGTGGAGTAGACATACTTCATTGCAATCCACCGCCTTAGGAGAAGGGTAGTGCGCCAAAAATTACACTGTAAAACTGAATTTGTCAACGTATGAGACTGACTCTGAAAATATATGCTGCTTTGTTTGAGACAAAGCTTGGATAATATCCCATAACAAGATTAGTTGTGTCTGCCAATTATGCCATGACTCTATGAATCACCCACTGTTGTAAATAATGAGGGAACTTTGAATCCAGAAACACATGTATCCACAGCCTTTGCAACGATTTATCACACCAAGACAGGTTCCTAAAAACTGAATGCTGCGTTAAACACGCAGTAACATTTATTTTGTGCCCTCCAGAAGCAGTGTTATGTAAACCTAGAAAACAAAACTTAGCCTTTTGAGCATTCAGTGAGTTAATTAACGACAAACATTTTACACAAGAGGCACTAGTTTGCAAGTGAGTATTTTGACGTTGATCGATCGATCCATGTCTGTCATTCTTATTTTATTATTAAGACTCCATATGGTTAATATACAGGCCTAATCCCTTGATACTCTATTCTGTAGACAAAATTATCTGTGAATTATTCAGTGAATGAAAAGTGTGCATTTCGTTTTTCGCTATAAGCTCTTTCTATTAAATTCTGTAAGTACCCAACACAGAACCTCTATGAATCATCTCGTAGTAATAGTCTCTCGAAATTGTCCAGTATCACAGATGTTTTTAGCAATGATGTAAACAACCCTAATTGACTTTAACCCTTGTGAAAAATAGAGCCCAAAGCACAAAAAACTCCTTTAGTTGAAAAATATCGACACAGCAAAGGGATAATACCATCCATGATCCAGTGAACAAATCGCGGGATCATGCCATATGGTAAATAAATAACTAGTTGGTCTTTTCAAAGAATAGGATCACTACAAATAGGGCATAAATAATTTTTTACTCAAAGAAATGCAATTTTTGACTCTGATTCAGTATTGTCTTGCACGGCAGCACTTTTCATAGAAGACAAGTCCATAAACCGGGCGAGTCAGGTTCAACTTCTTGCAATTTTCTTGCAGTATGAATACTTTTCATCTGAGCATTTTTTCACGTCTGATATGAAGACGACATTATTTAATTATCAAGCTATTTAACCGTCACTTTATTAAGTTCCTATTTACAC